AAATCCCCGTTTCTCACCCCAAACCCGGCCAGGCCCCCGCAAGGCCCGCGAGGTTTTCCGGCACTTCGGGAAAGCGCCGGGGACCCCCCACAGCCACACCAAGTGAGATTTGGGGCAGTTTGGGGCTTTTTGGGCATTTCGGGGGCTTGGGGCGTCCTGGGGAAGATTTGGGGGATTTCCGTAAAATTTGCGGGATTTCCGTAAAATTTGCGGGATTTCCGTAAAATTTGGGGCAGATTTGGGGGGTCTGGTAGTCGGAGGTTTTGGGGATGTTTGAGGCAAAATTTTGGGGATTTTTTGGGGTCATTTGGGGGGATATTTGTGGGCACATTTTAGGGATTTTTGGGTAAATTTGGAACATTTTAGGGATTTTCAGGTAAATTTGGGGGCACATTTTAGGGATTTTTGGGGATTATTTGGGGGACTTTTTGGGGAGGTTTTGGGGCTCTTTGGGGGGATATTTGGGGGACATTTTGGGGACATTTTGTGTGATTTTTGGCAAATTTTTGGGGGATATTTTTGTGATGTTTTGGTGATATTTTGGGGCTATTTAGGGGAATATTTTCGGAATATTTGGGGGGACATTTAGGGAATATTTTGGGGCTATTTGGGGGACGTTTTTGGGGATATTTGGGGGATATTTTGGGACATTTTGGGGATATTTTGGGGGAGGTTTTGGGGATATTTGGGGGATGTTCTTGGGGATATTTTGGGACATTTTGGGGGAGGTTTTGGGGATATTTTGGGGAGGTTTGGGGGATATTTGGGGGATGTTCTTGGGGATATTTTGGGACATTTTAGGGATATTTGGGGGATATTTGGGGGATGTTCTTGGGGATATTTTGGGACATTTTGGGGGAGGTTTTGGGGATATTTTGGGGAGGTTTGGGCTGACTGGGCCCCGCCCGTCTCTCCCCAGGCCCTACGTGCGCTCCAAGGGACCCAAGTTCGAGCGGGCGCGGGGGCGCCGGGCCAGCCGGGGCTACAAGAACTGAGCCCCCTCCCCAAAACCGGCAC